ATTATATTATAGTATATTATATTATTTATATTTATTATATTATACAAAATTATATTGTTTTATAGAATATTATATTATAGTATATTATATCATAGTATAGTATATTATTTATATTTATTATATTATACAAAATTATATTATTTATATTATATTAAATTATACAATATTATACTCACTCAGCGCACACATACATGCTCTCATACACACACACTCTCACACACACGCAGGCACACACAAACATACTTACACACACACACACACACACACATTTTGTGGTAGCCTATTTTCTGTCTGATGTCGTTTCTCCTCCCATCGAAGCCCTGCTGAGCTCTGTGACACCGCTGTGCAGCAGCAGTTTAACAGTGTGTGTGTGAGAAAACACACAACTGTGGCGTTTGTGTCATTACTGCACCGGGGTCTGCAGCAGCGTTCTGATTTCGCCCACGTCTCTGAGAGCTGCTTGACGTTTGCTCTGCTTTCTTGCTCTCTGAGGGTGTGTGTGCAGACACGGAGCCACAGATTGCAGCAGGTCGTTGATTTCAGAGACAGATGTTCTGCCTCCCGCCCTCCTGCTCGTTGCTTTGAGCTCCCCGTGTGTTATACGACTCAGTTCCCAATCTCTTCTGAACAAAGAGCCCTGCGTGAAATGTCGACACAGCAGCAGGTGGACGACTGAGTGTGGAGGAGGAGAGCGTCTGAGATGTATCATCTCTGCTGGATTGCATTTCTCAGCAGCTGCACGAGCCGTCCGGACGAAAAGGAGTTCAGCAGGCCACTGACGTGCAAAACACATCTCTCCAACAGTGAGCTCCCCTTTTGACACAAACCTGCTTACCACGAAAAAAGCTTCGCTCTAAATTGATCGACTTGGGTCTGAACCGATCTGAGCCAAAACACCAATTAGCCAAACTCCATCATCATAACGAGTTTGCATCATATCACAGTCAATCATCTCAGATGGGAATGTTTGCCCAGATCCATCACATAAATCCTGCTAAAGACACTCGTTTCCAGCTCAGAATATATGTCCAGTCGCCCTTAAATGCTGGTCTGAGTGCAGTTTAGCAGCAGCATCCAAGAGGAGAGGGGGAGTCCAGTCCTCTCCCTCTCTCATTAATGACCAATCAGTTTAAAACTTCATTGGTCTAAAAGTGCTCCTTCAGCACATCCCTCCCTCCCTCCTCCGTTTCTCTCATCCGAACCATCAACCACCACACTCTCTCTGCATCTTCTCCGTCTGTCCGTGAGGAGCAGAGCTCTCTGCTCCGTCCCTCCTTCTTTGTTTTTTATTGCTGTGCTTCATTACTTAAATCCCTCCTTTTCTCTCGGGCTCTTCGCCTCCACCGCCCCTCTGTCCTCTTGTTTCTGCATCCTTTTCAAAACGTCCTTACCCATCTGGAGGAGAGCTGCAGCACCAAATGTTTGATTTGTTCATAAAGGCCAGCAGAGTTTAGCAGCTCTGTCGCCTGCACCAGTGAGTCAGAGGTTGTATTGTTTTTTGGCACCAAAGTTCATGTAAATGCTGACAGGAGAAACAGCATTTTGTGGCTTTAATGCTATTAAACCGCTTTATCATGGGAAGAAGATCATTTATGATGCAATGCTGAAGGACACTTATTTAAGGTAAAGCAGGAAATTCCAACATATATCAACTTTCCTTTATAAATCCCATTGGGAATTAGGGAATTCACTGAGTAAACATAAAAGCTACAACAGACTGAAAGCATTTTCATGAAAAGGTTTTAGTGTGAAGCAGCTGGGATGAGAATCAGCTCCTCTAAATCTGAGACCATGAGAAAAGGGTAGAATGCCTTCTCCGGGTCAGGGATGAGGTCCTGCCCCAAGTGGAGGAGTTTAAGTATCTCGGGGTCTTGTTCACGAGTGAGGGAAAACTGGAGCGTGAGATCGATAGGCGGATTGGTGCTGCATCTGCAGTGATGCGGGCTTTGTACCGGTCTGTCGTGGTGAAGAGAGAGCTGAGTCGGAAGGCGAAGCTCTCGATTTACCGGTGGATCTACGTTCCTACCCTCACCTATGGTCATGAGCTTTGGGTAGTGACAGAAAGAACGAGATCACGGATACAAGCGGCCAAAATGAGTTTCCTCCGTAGGGTGGCCGGGCTCAGCCTTAGAGATAGGGTGAGAAGCTCAGTCATCTGGGAGGGGCTCAGAGTAGACCCGCTGCTCCTCCACGTCAAGAGGAGCCAGTTGAGGTGGCTCGGGCATCTGGTCAGGACGCCTCCCTGGTGAGGTTTTCCGTCCAACTGGGAGGAGACCTAATGGAAGCCCCAGCCCACGTTGGAGGGACTATGTCTCTCACCTGGCCAGGGAACACCTTGGGATCCCCCCAAGCTGGCCCAAGTGGCTGGGGAGAGGGAAGTCTGAGCCTCTCGATTCAGGCTGCTGCCCCCGCGAACCGACTCCGGATAAGTGGAAGAAAATGGATGGATGATTTAAGAACCTAAATCAAGTGTTAAACCCACTGCTATGGGCTCATCAGGGTCACCGTGGTAACCACACACAAGTGTCTCTCACTCCGTGATGCCAAAACCATGTCGTGTTGAAAACCTTTCCAATCTGTTGTATGGAGATGTGACAAGTTCAAAAGACTCCGAGATGTTGCCTGCGTGCACCGTGCAGTCTGGAGGATTTGAGATCAGACCATGGGTCCTAAGTCTGTGTGGAAAGGACGAGACAAAGTTTTGATCTATAAAACGGAAGTGTTCAAGTTGATGGGCATTGGAGTAGGCCCAGGCCCCTCAATGCGGCTCAAAAGTTGAAGCAATCCCGGAAGTACCAAAAATTGCAGTTCCACCCTCATCCACTAGGGGCTGGTGTCAGAAGCGAGCAAATCCTCATTGACTCCCATGTTAAAAATACCAATTTCACAGCAGAAATAAACATGTTTACAGCCTGGTACCAAAACATGTTTTTGGTTTAAATGATCTAGTTTACACTCATGACAACTCTGAGGGGGTGAATTTTCTTCTGTTTAAGTGTATTAAAAGCCTAAAATTCTGTATAATTAATGAGCATCAGACCCACGTGACCACAGAGCTAGCTCCGTGGAATGGCCTCAGTAGAGCCTCGGCCTGGCCTGGAAAGTGCTCCGGGATTTTGAGTCTCTGTGTTTGTGTATTCTTTTTTGGATATTATTTGTGCAACTGTTGGACAAAATGACTTGCTGTGGCATTAATTGCACTAATAGAGCGTCCAAGGAGTCTCCACTTCCTTTTTTTCGGTAAGTAAAATTATATTTATGTATTTTAGGTCACTGCCGAGCTGAGCTTAGATTTTAACATGTACTGTTTAACCATGAAATTTAAATGTAATAGGGTAAAACCCAGTGTATTTAACATAATGCTGCACTTTAGAAAATGGGTTGAAATATAACATGTTGGTGGAGCTGGGTTCCCACTATCGGCTTGTGGAGCTCTCGGGAGACCTCTGTGTTCCACCCGGTTTTACCCAGCGGTCAGCCCGGCATATCTCTGACTCAGAAGCTCTGGTGTTGTGAACAGTTAACTCCGGTTGTAGCTAGGTTGCTACCTCCGTTAGCTTAGCTCCCACCTCCGCGTTAGCTTTGGGTTAGCTTCAGGTTAGCTCGATCGGGTGTCATCAGTTGATCCCAGCCTTACAGCCCCATCCTCAGCTCCTCCTCTCTTCCCTTTTGTGAAATTGACTGGGCTTGACGGAACCTGTGACACGGTCAAAATGGCGGTGGTGGCCACCTCCCATTTAGCCTCAAAAAGTGTTATTGGAGGCTAAGGAAACCCATTGTCCAATATTTACATGTCGATGAGTAGGCCAGTCAACTTTCGGAACAGGAAAGACCACACAGGTGGCGATAAGAAGTCCTGGCTTTAACAGTTTTGTGGTGAGAACTGCTCACTACATTTGAACCAAGTCCCAGGTCAGACAGTAAATCTAGCAAAGTAAACAAACATGGCAGAGAAGTGTGCTGTGTGCTTCTGTCATCTCGCTTTCGGATTGGATAAAAATCATATTCAACTAGTTGTCCTCAAAATGGGACAGAGACAATCTAGCATTTATTGTCCCTGACGGTTAAAGTCAAAGTTCACTTGTTTTTGTCACATTTCCAGTGGTCTCTTGTATAAATGAATGCCTCTTTTGGGGAATAAAAGTTCTGGCGCTCCTGTTTCAGGAAGGGGAACTTAGCGGGAATAGAGAGGAGCAGAAAACAGCAGGGTTTGTGGTCTTACTCATTATTTCCTGATATTTGGACATCTCTCCTCTGATTGGCTAACTGCAACACGACTCTACCACTGATTCTGCTCTGCAACGTTGATGTTTTATCTCTACAAATAACACAAGCATGGAGGAGTGTGTGGTGGAGTTACTAATGATAATGGTTAGCTTTTACTAGCAGAAACATCCGCTGCTGTTTCCTGGACGCTAAACCAACAACAGCCTTCCCCGTTGTGAGTCAAGATGGGTGAGTCGATGAATGTTAAGAGACAGAGTGACATAGATCTGTCAGGCTTTTCTAATCCGAGCGTTTGCCGTCATCAGCGACTAAACAGGAAATACGAGTAGAGGACTACTTTCAAGTTTAGCCTGCATGCGAAACTCAGAGACCGATCGTATTTCAACAATAACAAATAAATTAACATTTCTCAAAGAACTTGCTCTTTAATGTCTTAAATGCTGGTCTGAGTGACCACGAAAGTTCTTAATTCTGATCTGGAGTGGCCCCAACATCTTTCCAAACAGACCAGAGCATCTTAATAAACCACACATGGCAAGAATATCTGATAAGATTTTCTTTAGAGCCAGTACTGCGATCAGACACGTCCTTAAAGAGCAAGTCACCCCCTACAAGAAACTTACTTCACTCCCACTTCATGTTTGACAAATGCAACAAATGCTGTTGCTTGGCAGACCGAGAGGGCGGAGCCGCTAACAAATACACACACACACAGGCTCACAATGGCATTATGACATCATAATGTACCAGATGACATCATAGTATAGCTCTTAGCCAATAGCGGTGGCAGATTTAAATTCAAATACAGTGCAGAGTTTTTCCCTGACGACGGCGCAACACTGCCAGTTTTGGGCAGAATATTTGAATTTTAACCAAGATGCACTGAACTGCCAAATTATTGACTACACGTGTCTGTAGCACGATTAGACACTCCTTTATATTGTTTATCAGCAAAAAAAAATGTGATTTGGGGGTGACTTACCTTTTTTTCTGATAAACTACATAACTGCATGTCTAATCGTGCTGCAGACACGTGTAGTCAATAGTTTTGCACTTTAGTGCATTTTAGTTCAAATTAAAAATTTCTGCCTAAAACTGTCAGTGTTGTGCCGTTGTCAGGTAAAAACTCTGCACTGCATTTGAATTTAAATCTGCCAACACTATTGGCTAAGAGGTACCCTAGAATGTTAGCTGGTACCATATGATGTCACAGTGTCGTTGTGAGCCTGTGTGTGTGTGTATTTGTTAGCGACTCCGCCCTCTCGGTCTGCTAGGCAACAGCATTTGTTGCATTTTTCAAACAGGAAGTGGGAGCGGAGTAATACTCTGGTAGAGGGTGACTTGCACTTTAAGATTATCGGCAGGGGAGGAGCCAATCAAAGATCGGCATTGAATGTAATATGGAAAAAAACAGAAAGCTAATTACTGTAATTGTATCATGAAGATGCAACTTCAGAAAATTAAAAACATAACATCTTCTAAAATCTTCACTGGGTCTTTATTCCGGTTGTAACTCTCACATTAGCTCCTATTTGTCACTTTTTATTCAATCGCTTTTAAAACAAACGTTAGATTTTCTTTATGCACGCTGCTAATAAATGCACCTTTGAGTGCACTTTAAAAAAGCTGGAAAACCTGTTAAATACAATCATTGAAATCAGATTTTCTCCTGAACTTTAAAACTGATTTATTATGGAAATGCTAAACTTAGAAAAACTGCGATCTTCTTTCCCGTCACTCGTTGCTGACGGGAGTCGTTTCCGTCCTAAAATGAAGAGAAATGTCTCTGACTCATTGTTCACAGCTGACTCCAGCTTGTCAGATGTCATTTATTGTGCTTCCATCATGTCATCCTTCTGAAGTCAGATCAGTTTTGTTTTCTTTACCTCTCAGAGGAAGTCTTTTGACAGTGCTATTCCAAAGTTGGGCGCCGCCATGAGGATGGCGATGGTGCAGATGATGTTAAAAACACTGAATCCAACCAGGCACAGGCGGTCGATGACGGCTGCAGCAAACTGCCACTGCTCCGCCATGTTTAGCTGGCGGTCCTGTTCGCGCACGCGCTCCACCAAGAACTGCACCTCTGCCAGGAGAGCCTGTAGCTGGTTGTCCACGGCAACAGAGCGAATCGTTCCGCTATGGGCGTGCAGAGGTGCTGACCTCCCTCCCTCTGACTCCAAGCCACAGGGTCCAGAGGCTGCATTGGAAGGGTCGGGATCCAGGGATGCAAGAGTTTCCAGTGGGGGGTTCCCAAACTTAGACGTCTGGAGGTGTTGATGAGTCGGTACATCTCCAACTGTTCCCCCTCCCACTGCTGCTCCTTCATCAGCTTCCCCTCTGTTATTCCTCCCACGGCTGGCGGTTCTGCACCCCTGGACTGCTTCCAGTTCTGCAGTGGTCTGGAAGGTTTGAAAGCCCATGTGAGGCAGATGGCCGTTAGGCTGCAGGTGTGGGTTTGGGTTGGCGTCTCTGTGGCCTGTGTTAGGGAGGACGTTAGCCTGGGAGTTGGGTCGGTGAGACAGTGGGTAGTTGAGCTGAGCCAGGCTGGCCTGCAGGGAGCTGAGACTCTGGGGCAGGATAGATGGCCCTGGGGTGGGGATGGTGGTGGTGGTGGTGGTGGTGGTGGTGGTAGGAGAGGATAGGGTCTTGCTCCGAGAGCCTGCTTGGCTGTTGGAAAGGGTTGGCTCTGCTCCCTCACCTGGACGCTTCATACGCAGAAACCAAGGGACCCACTGCAGCAGAACCAGGTGGACCTGAGAGACACCAGAGAGAATTGGGGAGCAAGCTTGCTGTCAGGGTGGAACTGGCACATGTCGGACCACCCCTAGAACCACCCCTGTAAATGACCGTGGCATCATGAGACTTCATGACTCCTGCAAGGCGCAGCTAATCCGTAGAATTAATGCTACATGTTCCATATTTAAAGGTGGGGTTTACTTGTTTAATCAACACATCTGCAGTCGTCTGGTAGGAAGGAATGCCTTGTAAGTCGTACTCTGGGAAAACAAAGCTCTGGTGCACCCGTTTCAGGAACAAGAAGTGAGCCACATCACAGTTGAGCTTCAGACGACAGAATTTGGGGTTTTACTTCCTGATATTGGGACATATCTCCTCTGATTGGCTAACAGCAACATGACTTCACCGCTGACTCTGTCTGCTCTGCAACGTTGATGTTTTATCTCCACAGATAACACAAGGCTGGAGGAGTTCTGCTGTGTGGTGGAGTTGCTAATGCTAATGATTAGCTTCTACTAGCCGAGACGTTCTCTACCGTTTCCTGGACGCTAAACCAACAACAGCCTTCCCCGTCGTGAGTCCAGATGGGCGAGTCCGTGAATGTTTAAGAGCAAATTGCAGGTTAAAATTTTTTTCAAATTCATAAAAAATACTATTTAAAAAGCTTATTGTGGATATTTGGTTTTAGAATACATAACAGCAGAGTTTTTCTAGCTGAACTGGACCTTTCTCAGGTCAGGTGAACCTCTGACGTAACCAAAGGGAGTCAGAAGCTAGGCGCTGCCTCAGCTCGGTGTGGAGAGTGGCTAGCTTTAGGGTAGAGAGGTCATGTGATCCAGTCAGTGTGTGTTTACTAGTGATGGGTTGTGTTCATGTTGATAAACTAGAGTGTGTGAAGGCTGTACCAACTCCAGCCTGTCTGGACATCGAGTCCACGGGTTTCCAGATCAGAGAAACAATGCCTCTATCTCCGTGCCTGAGGGCGTTTCTGCAGCTGAAAGACGGACTTCTGTAGCCCGCATCGGTCGGTACCGGGTCAGGGAGGTCCGCGCTGGGCTCCGGAGACCCGAGGCGGGGTTTAAAAAGTTAAATGCAGATTTCTGGAACTCAGATCACCGTCAGAACCAGCGGCTCAGTGGGCCAGCTGGTTTCCGGGTCAGAACCGCCGCTGACCTCCAGTAGAGGATGTGCGGCTTTTAAAAATACCAGCTCGACTGTCTCGCTCATGTTTGGGTCAGATCCAGCTCACAGAAGCCCGCATGAGCTCCAGGACCGGATGACAGGCGTCTCTCTCCGTCTCACTAAGAGCTAAACTACGTTAGGTGAACGGATATTAGCGAGTATGAGACCGCTGACAGACGCTCATTAGTATTAAAATTATATTAACTGACCAATACTATTTTAACTGTCTGGTACACGATAGTAATCTGTACCATATTATGATGTTAGCACACGAGTTTAAAGAGCAAGTCACCCCCTACCAGATTCTTACTCAACTCCCACTTCCTGTTTGAAAAATGCAACAAATGCTGTTGCCTAGCAGACCGAGAGGGCGGAGCCACTAACAAATACACACACTCACGACATTGTGACATCATATTGTACCAGCTAACATCATAGTGTACCTCTCAGCCAATAGCGATGGCAGATTTAAATTCAAATGCAGTGCTGAGTTTTTACCTGACGACGGTGCATCGCTGACAGTTTTAGGCAGAATATTTAAATTTTACCTAAGATGCACTTAAGTGCCGAATTATTGACTACACGTGTCTACAGCACCATCAGACACTCATTTATATAGTTTATCAGCAAAAAAATGTTGATTTGGGGTGACTTGCTCTTTAAGCTAGCATCGTTTACTCACCCGCTGCTTCTCCTCCTTAATCTCTCTGCTTTGGCCGATGGTTTCTCCCTCTGGTTTGTCTCTGCCCTCTGGGGCGAGCAGCAAACTCGTAACTTTATGGTTCTGGGACATCAGAAGTAGAATTGTAAACATTTAAAGTTTCCTCTGTGTCAGCGCCGCATTAGGATCCATATTTTTCACTGGATTAAGCTAACGGGACGCCCTCAGATGACGTCACTTGGTTTGTCGAAAAATAACTTTCTCACAAAAATGACTCTAAAAACCTAAATAATTCATATATGTGTAAAAAAATGTTTAAAACGAGTTTCTGTTATGTTTATCTAAACATTGGTTCACGGGAGTCTCTGACCTGCAATTTGCTCTTTAAGTGACAGCGTGACGTAGATCTGTCAGGATTTTCTAATCCTAGAGTTTCACCGTCTGTTTTCTATCAGAAGCTAAAGCAGGAGAAGGGTGTAGGAGACTATTTTCATGTTCAGCCTGCATGAAACACTCAGAGTTTTTTTATAATCAGAAATAATCATTAACACCTTTAAACAAGCGTCTCATGAATAAGAGAAGATCTGTGAAATATTGCTTTGGCCTTGTTCTGAGTAGCCGTTAGCTCAAATTCCCCAAACTGTTTATTCTGAACGCTGTCTGCTGCAGGCAGGGTGCTGACTGTAACATATTACAGCAACATAATACATCTATTCATGCAACAAGAAGAAACTGACCCAATCCCTGAATGAAGGAACAAATTCATTTTCAACCATTAAGATTAAACAGAGGAAATTTGCAAATGTTTGTTCACCTCATGGCACCAACACATTTTCTTTATTAGTCTTAAATTCAATAAACTTTCTAAGACTTGTTCACAGTCGCTGTAATTTTAATGTAAACGCGTTTATAAATAATTCATAATGATCTCAATTATCGTTTATGAGATCATCTTAGCAGTTGCCCTGGCGCAGATAATTTGCTCAATACCCACGAAGCAGGAAGAGGCTTCCAATAGAATACCAAGTGTTTGCATGTAGTCCTTCCCACGCTTTTAATTAGGAAGCGGCACTTAGAAAGGAACCGGTGAGGTCAACGAAAAACCAAATAAAAGTCAGATTTTATTTTAAAACTCAGGATTTATCAGACGTAGTGGAGCTGCGTGATGAATTAAGCTCAGATTAAAGAGTTTTGCCTCTATAATCTCCATGAAGCGCAGATTCAAAAAAACTACAAATGATCGTGGAAGAAAAGCTTGAATCATTTCAAAAACGCGTCCTGTGAACTGGGAAGACCTGAAACAGAATTTTCTGAAAATGACATTCTTACATCTTTTAAACATTAGATGATTAGTCGAGCTTGGAGGCTGTGATGCAAGACGGTGACATTTCACGGGGGGGGGGGGGGGGGGGGGGGGGGGGGGATTAATAAAACAGCAAACTTTGAAGTCAAACATAAAACTGGATGAAAAACAGTAAAAAGGAGATAGATTGGGATCTCAATAAATAAATCTAAAGTAAAATGTCAAAAAAAAACTAAACATGAAGAATCAGAGAGGAGCTGAAAGTGGTGACGACATTTTTCTTTCATCATTTTTTTATTCTATTAAAAAAGTTACCTCGTTTGACATTTCAAATAACGAGAAGAAATGTCATCTCTCGTCCTTTCACTGAGAAACGTTCAGAGAGGGTCAAGTCTCACATGTAAAAACCAAGCCCCCATAATTCTGGTCTGGAAATGAAGCTAAACAGGAAATGACCAAAATTGCAGTTCCACCCTCATCCACTAGGGGATGGTGTCAGAAGCGAGCTAATCCTCATCGACTCCCATGTTAAAAATACCAATTTCACAGCAGAAATAAACATGTTTACAGCCTGGTACCAAAACATGTTTTTGGTTTAAATGATCTAGTTTACACTCATGACAACTCTGAGGGGGGTGAATTTTTTGTCACTCTTCTGTTTAAGTGTATTAAAAGCCTAAAATTCGATATAATTAATGAGCATCCGACCCACGTGACCACAGAGCTAGCTCCGTGGAAAGGCCTCAGTAGAGCCTCGGCCTCCCCTTAAAACCGTTCTGCCATTTTCAGTCTCTCAACTTAGACCATTAGATGTAGCGTTTGTGCGTTCTTTCTGGATATTATTTCAATCAATCAATCAATCAAAGCTTTATTCATAAAGCACCTTCCGCGACCCTGTTGGGAAGCCCAAGGCGCTGAACATGGTACATGAGAAAAAAAGGTAAAACATTCTAGTAGAAGACAAACGGGTAAAACAAGAGATAGAGAGACCGATGACAACAGGGAAATAAATTCAACATTAAAGAGGGCCAAATTCAAACACGTTCAGGGAACGCCAAGCGGAGGAGGTGGGGTTTTAGGCGACTCTTAAAGGCTGGCAGAGATGGGGACAGCCTAACTGAGGGTGGCAGCTGGTTCCAGAGTGACGGTGCTAGGACTGAGAAAGCCCGGTCCCCGTGAGTACGACACCTAGAACGAGGGACAGCGAGCAGGCCTTGGTCAGAGGAGCACAGAGCGTGTGATGGGGAGTGTCTGTTCAGGAGTGTGGCTAGATAGGGGGGACCACCACCCTGGAAGAAATGATAAACAAAGACGAGGAGTTTAAAGTGTGAACGATAACAGACCGGAAGCCAGTGCAGGGAGGCCAGAACCGGACTGATGTGGTCCTGTTTCCTGGTCCCAGTCAGGAACCTGGCTGCGCTGTTCTGCACAACCTGTAGGCGACGCAGTGATGGCTGACACAGTCCAGCATAGAGAGAGCTGCAGTAATCAAGCCTAGAAATTACAAAAGCATGGAGTACCCGCTCCAGGTGGGCTCTCGGCAGCATAGGCTTGATTTTTGCAAGGCGTCTCGGATGAAAGAAACTGGACCGGATCACAGAGTTGATGTGAGCATCAAATTTAAGCCCAGCGTCAATTTTCACCCCCAGACTGGTGACAACTGGTTTTGAGTAGGGAGAAAGAGGGCCAAGATCAACATAATGACCCACAGCCCTGCTGTTTGGGTGAAAAACAATGAGCTCTGTCTTTCCCTCATTCAGATGCAGAAAGTTGGCCATTAGCCAAGACTTCACCTCGTTAAGACAGGACTCAAAGGACTGGATATTATTTGTGCAATTGTTGGACAAAATGACTTGCTGTGGCATTAATTGCACTAATAGAGCGTCCAAGGAGTCTCCACTTCATTTTTTTCGGTAAGTAAAATTATGTATTTTAGGTCACTGCCGAGCTGAGCTTAGATTTTAACATGTACTGTTTAACCATGAAATTTAAATGTAATAGGGTAAAACCCAGTGCATTTAACATAATGCTGCACTTTAGAAAATGGGTTGAAATATAACATGTTGGTGGAGCTGGGTTCCCACTATCGGTATGGTCCCCTCCCCTGAGCGGCAGCTCTGCGCATCTCTGATCGCAGCGGCGCTTGTCTGCTGCGCGGCTGCCGGCTTGTGGAGCTCTCGGGAGACCTCTGTGTTCCACCCGGTTCTCCCCAGCAGTCAGCCCGGCGCATCTCTGACTCAGAAGCTCCGGCGTTGTGCACAGTTAACTCTGGTTGTAGCTAGGTAGCTACCTCTGTTAGCTTAGCTCTCACCTCCGCGTTAGCTTTGGGTTAGCTTGTAGCTACATCACTTTAGTTTGACGGGTGTTGTCATTTGATCCCAGTCTTAAAGCCCCACCCTCAGCTCCACCTCTTTTCCCTTTTATGGAATTGTCTGGGCATGACGAGACGTGTGACACAATCAAAATGGCGGTGGTGGCCACCTCCCATTTTGGCACAAAAAGTTATAATATGAGCCTATGGACACGAATTGTCCAGTATTTGTGTCGATGGTAGAAACGCAAAAAATTCAGCCCCTTCAGTTTGGTTCTAGCTCACCCAGTGTGGCATCTGCCCGTTGTTGAGACTGTGGTGATGGAACTGAAGGACGATGACCGTGGCCACCACCGACATCCCAACGATCACCATGGTGCTGGCAAAGTACTGACCTGGGACACACAACAGGCAGAGCTGATTGTTTTTATTCGGTAAATAATCTTCGTGGCCCTAAAAGACAAAACACACAAAAAGCCACTCAGATGCACGTTAAGGGAGGAAAACGACTAACCAATCAGAGGAACTGAATCAGAGGTGGCGGGCATGATCTCTGCAACCATCAGCATGAAGACGGTCAACGAGAGCAGAACGGTGATGCCTGAAGGCGGACGCCGGGGAGTCGTGGGTCGAACAAAGAAAACAGAGATGAGTTCATCACAATCAGTTTTACGTTTGATTTCTTCCTGACGTCCCGTAAAAATCCTTCTAGATTTTCCTCTAAACATTCACACTTCTCATTCTGTGCACGTTCGATGCTATTAGGGGCCATGTGGCACACTTCCCTTTCTTGTTGTCTCTTCGTCCTGTTATTACTCCTCACCAAGGCTGATCTTCTCCCCGGAGTTGGCGGGGAGCAGGAAGACCAGCAGGGTCATGGAGGAGAGGAGCACACACGGGATCAGGAGGTTGAGAGCATAGAACAGGGTTCTCCTTCGCAGCGTCACCACAAACGTCACGTCGGGGTAAGGTTCTGCACAGCAGTCGTAGAAAACCTCATGACGATCTCCAGGGACCTCTGGAAAGGAGGAGGTTTATAAAGTGTTAAACGGCTCTGCAGAGAACAGGAGCGGCATGACGAGTTAAATGTGTTTGTTAGACCTGTTGAATTATAACTGAATAAAAGTGAGCTACTGCGAGTAGAGACGAAAAAACGGGAATTGCAGCCATCTTACATTAGAGCTGGGGTTCGGGCATGAATGAGGAAAAGGACACGGGTGTCCTTAGCTGTCCTGAGAAGTGCTCTCCGAACCGTCGCACTTCCCTGGATTCTCCACTCATTACACTCACGTATTCAGCACCAGAACACCACCGGTGTGAGAGGTTCTCTGCGCAGTAACGTCAGAGAAGGAGAAACAGCCGGCTGCTACCACTTCAGCTTTAGGACAAACTACCAGAGTCCCAAAAAGAAAAACACCGTCTGAAATCACGGACAACAGAAGAGGTTTGGACCCAGAAAACTGTGACTGGTGTTTAGCGCTATCTCGTTTCCTCTGGCATCGCGAGGTTCAGGTTCCGGTGGACGTGAAACCAGAAGATACCCGAGGGGAGGGGTGAGTGTTCCGTGACCGTGGTTACTTGTTCTGTAGATTCACTATAGCAGCTTTAAAGAGACAATGTGTAGTTTTTACTGTTAATCCCAGGAAATACCCATCAAAACATTGATGAAAATGAAATAAATGATGCCCAGTTGTTGAGAAGCTTCGTGACATTTAACCATAAAAATCAGGTCTAAAATTCATGGGAGCGGGTCTAAGTCTGGGCGACGCCATGTTAGATGCCATGTTTTTTCCTATGGGAATCCCGTGAGGACAAAATGCATTTACCGATTTGAAACAAACGGTTACAAAACTTTCGCCATTCTTAACTTGTTCGCTGCCAGCCGTTTCCTGATAGGTAAAGCCCTTCGCTGCCAGCGTTTCTCATCGTTTTTACTGTTTTTTAAGAGTGACAGAACATTGCACGCTAACGTCAACGCCAAAACAACCAAAACAAATCGGAGACTCTCCTCTTACGTCAGGAAGAATTTGTGCGTTTCGAGCATTATCCGTTCTTTAATAATCCGTTGTTGAATTGTGATCGGCAGAAGCTTTTCCGGTTCGCACCTCGCTTTTTTTTTACAGCAGCGACCCAAAACGATCTCCTAACACGTGGATGTTCTGCTTCCTGATCACGTGACGTGTGACGTACGCGGATGAAGATCGGCTTTAGAGCTGAGATGTTTGTCCTCACGGTGCGGGGGCTCGTCCGACGCCCACACAGTAAAAACATGCAAATGACGACTTTAGTCGTCATTGGCAGTGAATGAGTTAAATTTTGTTTGACACATTTACTTCTTCACCTGTTGCCAGTGATGAAAGGAAGTCTGATGCGCTCGTCGTTTTGCTGAAATTTGCACTCCCCAGGGCTTTTTGACCCTAATGGGCATCCATTGGTAAGGTCTTACTCCAACACAAAAATACTGCTTGCATGCAACGATTTAGGAATCCACTGCCCCCTATTGCCAGGAAAAATACACACTGTCACTTTAAGTGAACTTATCTGCTTTTATGTTCTTGCTCTGAGGTGCGGGTGCATTTTATTTCTTTGTTACGAGGTAATTGAGCTTCTCTCTCGTGACTTTATATGAGTAACGCAGCAAACTGGCTCTCCTGCACCTCTACAAAAACAAAAGCTGCCATCACCCCTCATAGATGAACCAGTTTGCCCCACAAGGTGAGAAATGGGTTAGAAAAAGAAAGAAAGAAAAGTCTGAGAAGTCCACTTCAAGTGATGTGAACTGTAAACATGTTTGTTACCAAATTCAAGAACAAGTGAGCTAAACACATGTTTAATTCTAAATGAAAGTCTATTTAAAGATCGTGTGCTGCTCAGCCGTACCCAGAAGGTCCCACTCTCCGTTGGGCATGTAGCCCGTCACGTCTGCCTCCTTCATCTGGATGTCCAGCAGCCAGCCGTCAAACGTCCAAGAGCCAAACTTCAGCTCGCAGCGCTGGATGTCAAACGGAAACCATCTCACGTCCACATTACAAGTGCTGACAAATATTCCTTTAAATCACAGAAATAAAACATGACTTTAATTTTTAGGTCCTCCCAGATCGGAGCAGCGGGAGAGGGATTATGAGAATTAACTGAGCTTGCTGCAATCATATAGAAGTGAGAGGAAAAGGAAAATATGTAATTGCAGCCCTCAGAATTAATTAGCTGCTGTGTGCATCGTGATGAATTGACTCCAAGTGATTAAAGTAAGGTTTTGGGAGTGGAGTAGTCCAGCTGATGACACGTACCTGGAGGTAGGTACTCACAGAAGCCACTGGAGTTGACCAGAACATTGGTCTTAAAGGTGGCGTCAAACTTATCGTGAGCACTAAAGGAAGATGGTTAAAAAATAAAGTTTAGAGACGAGCAGCAGCTCCAGATGTGGCATAAACGTCTTCCTGCGTCACACACCTGTTGTACAGCAAAATGTCAGGAGTCCAAACCTGGTCCGGGGTGAAACGGAGGTTCTTGACTCCGGGATACTCGGACTGGTTCCACTGCAGATAGTGGTCGTACCACTGCTGGGAGACACAAACACGTTCATCTGACTTTTTGTATTTATTACGTTTTTATTAAAACACCTTCTGCTGAGACTACAAACATCTTGGATCATCTCTCATTCCCTTCTATTCTACATCCAGAGCCAGATTTCAAAGATGTCTTGATCATCAAGCCGTCTAAAGTTCATCCACGGCTGTTCTTTGAGCTTTGACTTCTTTTTTCACCTGTTCTGGTTTCTCTAAGCTCGGTTCTATAAAGCACGGGTCGTGATTTGTGATTTCCAGCGATGAAATTAACCCCGACAGCCGCTCCTCCAGCTCTCGTGTTACAACGATGTGTTGATATGGTCGAAGGAGGAAGCCGTCGTCCTGCTGAGGCGCCTGTTATATCGGGATGACGAAACTCAACAAGCCTCTGGGATGATTCTGTGCATTATGCCATAAGAGACCCGGGGCCAGCTGCATCCATCAGTATCGCATCATTAATGTTACCTATTACACTCACCATCTGCAGCCAGGCGTTTGTGGTGAGGATCTGGCTCTTCTCATCCTATCAAGACATCAAGCAAATAAGATCAGAATGATTTTGTGTTTCCAAGGATAATTTGATACCGTTTGAGTTCACTCCTTGATGAAATGGTTGAATTAGATCCTGGCTGCTTTCTGCAAATTCTAATCAAATTTAAACACGCTTGAAAGTTTGTGAACCCTTACTCTCACTGTCTAAATGTAGTTTCAGGTTTAGATCTTAAAGGGACTTTACGGAATTTTGAATTTTTATGCTCGCGATTGCCCCCTCAGGCCAAAAGCGTAACGGCAGCTTCAATAGTAGGCTCGTGCACGAGGCGCGCATGCTGTACGTGCACACTCCTTAACGAAAATAACAGCTGAGACAGTCAGCTCTGTGTGTGTGTGTGTATGTGTGTGTGTGTGTGTGTGTGTGTGTGTGTGTGTGTGTGTGTGTGTGTGTGTGTGTGTGTGTGTGTGTGGCCCGGAGGACAGAGGACAGGAGAACGGGCAGCTAATTAATTAAATAATGTGGTTCTGTACCTTTCTCTTCAGCACAGCCGACAAAGGTTTATGATGGGTCAGTCCTCCTGCATGCTCAGATCATTCCCTTCCCTTGCTTGAAAAATTGTTCCAAAAAGTTGAACCCACATCTTTTTTATCTGTGAATTCAATGCCGTTCGGCGAGTCTCAAATAAAAATTTGGGCATCTTACTGTAAAAAATATACCATTAATGTAAAAAAGAAACTCTAAATAAACTATGTTCACATCCAGAATCAAACCCAGGTCTTCTGCACAACAGTCTGACATCTTACCAGGCGAGCTAACACACCAATTCAATTCAATTCAATTCAATTCAATTCAATACAAGTTTATTTATAAAGCGCCAAATCACGACAAGAGTCGTCTCAAGGCACTTCACATAATAAACATTCCAATTCAGGTCAGTTCATTAAGCCAATCAGAAATAATGTTTCCTATATAAGGAACCCAGCAGGTTGCATCAAGTCACTGACTAGTGTCAGAGTCTTTACAGCAATCCTCATAAGCAAGCATAAAGCAACAGTGGAGAGGAAAACTCCCTTTTAACAGGAAGAAACCTCCAGAGGATCCTGGCTCAGTATAAGCAGCCATCCTCCACGACTCACTGGGGATCGAGAAGACAGAGCAGAAACACACACACACACACACACACACAGACAAAGTAATGTTTCTATGGTTACATTGTGATTTCTTAGTAAATATTCTATTTGGCGAGAGATAAACTTTATTGTATTTGTCCTAGTGAATCTATAATTAAACGGGTAAACTAGTAGTAGCACATCCAACGTCAATGAAAGCAAAAAGTTATTATCAGGAGAGGGAGAATGTTTAAGTGGTTAGCAGCAGTGTGCTAGACGATGGCCCCCTCCATGAGGCCACCACAGCTCAGCAGAACATCGTTGTAGCTTCTTCTGGGGAGAAAACACTTAGAGAGAAAATAAAATTAACAGCTGAAATAGCAGGAAATAATACAGTTAAAGAGCAGACTGTAGAAGAAAGTAGTAGAGTGTGAAAAGTGGTCAGTGTATCCTCCAGCAGTCTACGCCTATAGCAGCATAACTACAGAGATAACTCTGGATAACCTAGCCTATTTAGATGGAGGCATGTTGGAGGCAGGGCAAGGGAGAGCCGTCTTTACCGACTGTACACTCCACCTCCCTGTACTCCCCCACTTATCCAGATTTAGGCTAACATCAGATTTTAACCATGGGCCCTATCACATAAAAATGTTTTAAGCCTAGTCTTAAAAGTAGACAAGGTGTCTGCCTCAAGGACTAAAGCTGGGAGCTGGTTCCACAGGTGAGGAGCCTGATAACTAAAAGATCTGCCTCCCATCCTAATTTTAGATATTCTGGGAACCACCAGTAAACCTGCAGTCTGAGAGCGAAGTGCTCGGTTAGGAACGTATGGAACAATCAGATCACTGATGTATGATGGAGCTTGATTATTAAGAGCTTTATATGTGAGAAGAAGGATCTTAAAACCAACTCTGCTTAAGGAAATGGCAACTGTCTAAATAGAGTCGAATGTCGGTACGTCTGGGTGAAAATCTAAGAAAATAAATCCAGAGCAACACCCCGTTGAGCTCTAATCACCAGAAAGCAGCCATCTGAGAAAGTGACACACACCTGAATGGTTTTAAACATGTTGACAGCTGTAGTGTGTGTAAAGGGAACCATGCAACATGGTGAGCACAGCATCATATTAAACTATAGTAAGAGCTTTGTTAATGTGAGCTAATTTACCAACGAACTCCTTTCTGAAGTGAAAACTTAATGAAAATCTTGTCAGTGATGCACCAGCTTTCTGTTTGAGCTGAGCACACGCCTGGGGCGAAAGTAAAGCCCATTCCCTGGAAGATCGAGAACCTTCACCGTTAGAGGGATCTTAAAGGGGTCATGTTATGGAAAAATCCCCATTTGCCTCCTTTTGTGCTGCCATGTGGGTCTCTGTCACGTTGAGAGCAGGAGGAGGTTTGGACCCGAGATGCAGAAACACCAGACAATACGAGGCAGGAGCGATTTGTAAAGTATAATCCCTTTTATTAGGAAGAGAAAAACCAATGTCCTGAAATCCTGGAAACCAAAGCTCAAAATCCAAAAGGGCAGGAAGCCAAAAAAACCCAATGTCCTAAAATCCTGGAGCCAAAGCTCACTTACAGAGCACAAACCTAGAGACCAAGTGGAGGGGAACAAAACAACACTGACACAAACAATGGACCGACCAAACACTAAGACACAGACAGGGTTTTATACACTGCGGAGGATGAGAGGGAGATGAGCTGCAGGTGTGTGGGGAGAGAGAGAGACCAGGTGAACTCAATTAACTAATCAGGGAGGAAACTAACATGACCTAAGAGTAAAACCTAAAGACCAGAAGAGCAGCAAACATAACTGATATTCTAAGGGAGGGGCTGAAACTAAAGGAAAACACTACAGAAAGAAAAACTACAGAGGCGTGACTAAAGGGGACCACGGGAGCACTGGACCTGGGAGGGGGATACCTGAGGAGGGAAACTTAGAGGGCTGAAGATCTGGGGACAAATGAGGGACACAAGGAGACACATGAGGAAGACGCAGACAAGGACACATGAGGGCGCTAGGAGACACAAAAGGAGAACCTAGAGAGGGATGGAGAACACAGGGAGACACATGAGGGGAGACACAGACCATGACAGTCTCTAATGCCTCTATAAATGCTTCAAATGTGAGAAAAAAAAACTATTTGTTTTGTGTCAGCGTTTAGTTTTAGGAATGATGTGCCTAAAACAAGCTGTTGCAAAAAGGCCCCATTTGTGACATCACAGACAGGGAAATTAGAAGAGAACCCCCTCTCATTGCAGTAGAGAGCTGCTGTTGTCAGAGCAGCAGCTCTGCCCTGAGCCCCTCCCATACACTGGAGCTTCTCAGCCTATCACAGCCTGAGTGGGGGAGGGGTGGGTGTGGCCAGCAACAGCTTTCTTTCTTAAAGCAACACTAAAGAGATTGTAACAGTTTAAGCTATTGCTTTCAAACTGGTTTCAGTGGTTCTTCAGTCATAAACTTGAGCAACTTCACGTCGGCCAGAAACCACACCTAACACTTTTGGTGATTCTGGTAGGAACACTAGTGGGAGGTCTCTTCATGAACATGTTTTGTATCAACCATAAAATGATTATAACTCATGAATAAAAAGTAATAATATCTTTCTTTAGTACCGTACCACATCCATGACTTGAATAAGCGTGAAGGAGAACTGGACAGTGAGAGCGTGGGAGTCGTTGGCCACCGGTCTTTCCATGGGGTTGTAGTCTCTCAGCAGCTCCTTGAGAAGAAAGCGCTGATGTGGACCCGGCACTGATCCTAAACGGGAGTTTGGTGGAGGGAAGAAACGTGGAAGAGTCAAGACATGAAAGAAAACGTGGATTTCTGCAGCAGGATGAAATGAAAGACTTGAATAAGAAACATCAAAACAGAACAGGGATTATCCCCAACGGGATTACCAAGAAGAATTACTGCAAAAGACGTTTGAGACAAACCCTGGTAGAAAGCACAGAGAGGAGGGAGAAAAGTCCAAAGGAGGGCTGCGCATCTTAATCAATTACGTCTCTGATTGATCGCCCAGTAGAAGTCTTTCTTCAGCCGTAAAAACGTCGGTTTCATTTTGTGCAGGAAATAGAGCGGCCGTTAAACACTGAAACACCCCAGATAGACACACAGCACTCCAAACAATGGAAGACCTGGAACCTTTCTCCGTCTTTGCCCTTTAACTCCACGTGGGCATAAAGTCGCTGTTGACTCACTTGTTACAATGAATCTCCAGTGATCTGGAGGACGGGTGGCAGAGGAACACTAGATATGTTAACATACAGGAGTGGTATTTCAGAGAGAAGCCTGTTCTGTTGCCACTTTCTGCTTCGCCGTAGGAGTGCTGCAGTAAAGGGTGCACGATTAATGCGCTCGGTGTCTGATGTCAAATCTATATTCGCTAACTGAATCTTAAATGATATCCACGAGACTCCGCGTGTCGTTAATTCAGATTATTGGTCTCTTGGCGTCCATAATGTCCCGCTGTAGTTAATGTAACACTGTAACGACCACTTTCCTTCACTTCACATATTTATGCACGATTACATGCAAAGGTTTGAGCAGCCATGATCAGACAAAACTAGCTTAACATCCATATTTGGTGCAGAATAAAAGCAAAGTGCCAAGAATTTATAGCAGGCGTCGTTGGCTAGAGGATCTGAATTTAGACCTCTCATGCATCTCTTTTGAATTTCTAAATAAATTCACAAAGACTGGGAAAATTTACCAGCAGGGATGCTTTTAAAGAGCAAGTCACCCCCAAATCAGCTTTTTTTCTGATAAACTATATAAATGTGTGTCTAATCTTGCTGCAGACACGTGTAGTCAATAGTTTAGCACTTTAGTGCATTTTAGTTAAAATTTTAATTTTCTGCCTAAAACTGTCAGTGTTGTGCCGTTGTCAGGTAAAAACTCTGCACTGCATTATTTTCATTTATTGACATGAAAATAAAAATACAGAAGTAAATTGCTGCAGGCCAAAATGAAAAAGGTGACAGAAAGAAGAAAAACGTATGTTATCTGCCCCTTTTAACTAAAATAACATTAATACAAATGAAACAATCATATGATTCTTAAAAAATTTGAACAATATAGTTTCTGGACTGGTTGGCCGACACAACCTCAACCCATGAATTGAAAAAAAGAGAGAAAACAAGTTGCACAGAAAGAAGCATAACGTTATAGACCTATACATACGTACACATATACACATATGCATACATAGACTTGTTTCCTTTTCCCTTTTTTTTTCTTTCATCCCCCAACCCCCCTCCCCTCACGCATTTATGTAACAGATCTATATAAGTTAATCATTTCATTTT